GTGTGAGAGCCTGTGTGTCTGTTAGTGTGTTTGTCAGTTTGAGATCCCAGCTTACCATGCCTGTGTGTCACTGTGTGCGTCTGTCAGTCTGTCAGTCAGTCTGTCTGTGAGCCCAGCTTACCATGCCTGTGTGTCACTGTGTGCGTCTGTCAGTCTGTCAGTCAGTCTGTCTGTGAGCCCAGCTTACCATGCCTGTGTGCAATCCTCTCCACCACATCCAGGGTGTTGAAGATGGTGTCGTCCAGGTAGGAGTAGGCCGGCGCCACCTGGGAGTGTCGCTTGTCCTCTCTCTCCGCCACCCAGCCCAGACGACCTTCGGTGGGTCGAGAGTGCCTCGTTATCTTCCCGGAGAACAGACCTCTGCAACAGACACGACAGCACGCGGAATACTATCACAGCGCAAATCAACAAACAGAATAAATTTGAATGCAGGATTTTTTCCAAAACTTGCATCAACAAAGAAATATTGTTGTAACATCAGCAGAGAACACAGAAATGTTTTGTAACATCAGCAGAGAACACAGAAATGTTGTTGTAACATCAGCAGAGAACACAGAAATGTTGTTGTAACATCAGCAGAGAACACAGAAATGTTGTAACATCAGCAGAGAACACAGAAATGTTGTAACATCAGCAGAGAACACAGAAATGTTGTTGTAACATCAGCAGAGAACACAGAAATGTTGTTGTAACATCAGCAGAGAACACAGAAATGTTGTAACATCAGCAGAGAACACAGAAATGTTGTTGTGACAAAAGGAACCAAACAAAAGCAGATTTCTCAAACTGTTTTCTCAAACTGTTTTCTCAAACTGTTTTCTCAAACTGTTTTCTCACCGATGGAATACGTTTAGTCATAGTAAGAGTTTTATGGCACTTGCAACATAACAATAAGGTCATAGAAGTGCCGAGGATTACAGGTGTTACAAGTAAAAAAGGAGGAGGAGAGATAAAGACAATAGATGTTTGATAAGAAAGAAGAAGCAAACCACCCATTGATTGAATAATAATAACAATAACAATAATATAAACCAAAATCAGGAGGCGAAAATACGTGTTCAGACTAAACGTCTACAAAAATAAGTACACTTGCCAACAAAATGAGCTACTTCTCGCAATTGTAATCCACGAATGGATATATCGACCGACAATCAACACAGGGGTCAAATTTGTAGATTTTGAACTGATGCCATTTTCTTTAATTTTAACATGTCTTTTATTATTCCATACAAAAATTTTTTAAAAATCAATATTATTTTTAAAAAGAGTTTTACGACCCTCGCAACACAATAAGGTCATAGGAGTGCCAAACATTAGAGGTGTTACAAGACAGTAACAAACTAAAGAAGGAGAGATAAGATGACAGATGTTCGACAACCTATAAACTTGACACATTTATTTCCAGTCCTGACTAAAATCCAAGAAAAACAAATTCAGTAAGCCCACCCCACATATGCTTTCAGTTAAGTTTTAGTAAGGTTTTACAGCCCTCGCAACTGAATAAGGTCATATGAGCGCCAAGGGGTGGATGTCAACAGAGAAGTCCAAACGGGGAATCAGGCTTACTCTGCTCACCTCTCTAGCTTCAACAGCACAAAGTCTGCTTCGACTATCAAGGCACCCTGGAAATAGCAGTTCACAAGAGAGTGACAAACATACAAAGAAGTAGAGGAAAAAATGACAATAGTAAAGATGAGGAAAGGAAAAGCAGCAGTTCCCCCATGTTGTTCCAGCACAGAATGAGTATGACATTGATGAATCAGCTCATTTACAATTCTACTGTGCATAAAAACGTTTTAATATCCCTCCCCCACCCCACCCCCCACCCCTTGAGAACACTGCCTTGGGGGGGACAAACAAACAAAACTACATACACACACACATACACACACACATACACATACATACATACACACACACACACACACACACACACACACACACATACATACACACACACACACA